TCAGCCAACCCATCTTGTACTTCGGTACTTCGACTAGCCTACGCAAGTCATTGTATAGGCTCATCCAAATGCTCGCCATCTTGAATGGAAGTGGGGTGCGTGCCGCGATCCAGCAAAGAGTTCTTCAGGGGCGACAGCTTTCAAGCTCCCGCTTTTCTTATCCGATTTTCATTCCGTGTAGTACAGCATTTTCAGAGTCCACATTCTGTAGCATCCATGGCCATACCTTTCGAGGCAGTTCCTCATTTTTTTTCTGTTCCATGTTAATTTTTTTGCATGATTCTTCCAGCACTGCAGCAATCTACCCCACTGAAAATCGGATCAGACTCATTATACAAAGCGCGGCTGTTTGTGTGCTTCCTGGTGTGTTTTGCTTAGTACCCGCCTGACTTTGTGGCTGCGTCAGCCTACTTCGAACGTTTATTATGTGTTCACCTGATTCCATCAATTCCGATGTAATGTGGAAATGTAAAGTAATATAAGAAAAAGTTATTCATGATAGATCGGCAGTAACTCCCTTTTGCCGGTATGTAATGAAGTTCTCATGCGGAAACAATACGCTAAAAAATTTGAACTGATGTCGTATAATAGCATGTTTGTGGTAGGAACCTGTTCTCCTGGTACTGCCAGTATAAATAGAAAGAGGGGGAAGTTGTTGTGACAGCTCTTAGTACACGTCTAACCTATTTTTGATAAGCTAGAGCAACTTTGCTTGGTGGTTCTGGACGATCTGAGCATAGTGTCGCAAGGGGCACGCGACGGTGGATACCGAAGGGCCTAAGGCCATTTTCGGGTGTAAAATGCTGCTGAAACTTTCTTCATCAATCTTCTTATGGTTAGCAACTTCCAAGCTCTCACTCGCGTGCTGGACCTGCTCCACATGGTCCAAGACCTGCTCCAGATGTCCATGCAGTCTGCCTAGATGGATGCCTTTTTTTAAATTATCCATATCATGGAGTTGGCCAGATTTGCACTCGAAGTCTGCTCCCTGCTTCCTCTTTTGCGATTCAGTGGCAACATTCCCTGCTGCGTCCCAAAAAAAATGCGTCCTTTAATTGGCGCGATATAATTCCATAAATTCCCCAAGAACGACTTGGGATCAATGCTCCTGAAGAGTAGAATTCCGCGACCCTGGGCAGGCGCTGCATAGCGGTTTCCCCGAGGAAGGTGCCCTTATAAGGGCCCTATCAAGCCACAACTTTACGTCCCAAACGCCCGCCACGCCCGCCCACAAATGGACGACCGTTCCTGACGCTCGTATTCATTCATTTGCTAAGCAAATTATGAAGCGAAGGGATTGGTATGAAGCGGCCGTGATGCTGCATGCATACATGGGTACACATATGCAGCCGTATCTTCGGTAGCGGTGATTGGTAAGATGCCTACGGGAAACTCGTCCGAAATCGATTTACAAGTCACTGAGAACGGAGGCTTTTTTTCGCAGGATTTTGACCGTTTCACTCCGTTCTTTCGCCATTTCCCACTATACAGCGCCCTACTAGCATTTTAGGCTAAGTAGGAAACCATCGTGCCAACTGCTTTAAAAGTGCTTCTACTCGTGGCTGTCACATACACTCATGATGTTCATTTCCCACTTTTTAAAAGCCTACCCCGAATTCAAAAGTGGTGTTTCTGTGGCTTAAATACTGATGACAAGATGGCAAGTAACCCAAAGGTGAAAAAATAAGCACTTAAAACTCGTTTGAAACGCCTCATATAGGACCGCATGCTGGAGCGCGCTTGCACGTGCATAGGGCGAAGAAGTGGCGTGGTTGGACGAGTTCTCATATGTTGGTGCCAGCTCTTTCTTCTTATTACCCCACTTACCAATCGAAATGGAGAGAGAGTTAGTAGCGAAACAACTGCTTCATCACGCAGCAGTTAAAAATGAGTGTTGGGAATTGCCGTGGCCAGTGGGCAGAGCCGTGGCTCCATCACGAGCGGGCGGCGCTTTCCTCATGTATTTTTAAGCTGCGGAAAGTACATCGTGCATACTTGCGGCAGGACTACCATGTTCACAGAAGGTGCCTGAACATCGAATGAAAGGGGTGACTTGAACGAATGAAGGAACTAGGACGTTTAGGGCATGAGAGATCACGGAACAGGGATTACAAGAAGTTTTCAGTAATACTGGTTTGACGTGTGACGCTACTTGCGCCATGAGCATTCATATGAGTCCAGGGAAACTTTTTCTGTAGAATGTCGTTCGCTGCTATTACAGTCAGTTGAAGTAATAACCAGTTCTAAAGTTTCATTTGATTGCATTCTAAATGCATTGAGCCACACAACCCTATCACTTCGCTGTGGGGTCAACCAGTACCGATCGACCGCCGATCTAATTGACTGACATCGTCTGTCGAGCGCTTAATACATTTTCTTCGGATATACTGCTTTTATGTGATTTTGGCTAATTTTGTGGGGTTGAATGTGTTGAAAATCCTGTTAGCCGAAGACATCGTAACCAAAACAAAACCAACTGCCCATAAGTTTGATGGCCACTTCGTCGCTACTGTACTGGTTTGTGGCTGAAAATACTGAATCGGACATCCGCCGTTCTCAGTCGGCCGTGTTTACCTTGGGCTTATGTGTTCAGAATGCCTCTGCCTCTTACGTTTCTGAATTGGGAGAGGATTGATCGGTGCTGTATGCTTGTCGATGACGTTTTTCCTCTTCTGTGAGGATGGTCCAGAACTGTACGACTTTTTCTGTTCTCTCGCTGAAGTTTGTCTAGAAAAGTTTTTGCTTGTTTAGGAAATCGGCGTTGTTCGTCTTGGGGGGGGGGGGATGGAAGGTGTATTTTTACATTTTTCCCCCATTTTTCTTGCTAGTCTCTGTTAAATTTTTTTTGTAAGCGTCCTTACCGTTAGTGAAACTTGTAGACTTCCTGTATCAAATGTGAATGAAGCTCATAGGAATGCGTAGCTTTACAGTAACCGGCAGGTCTCACAGGAGGCGTCGGCAGTAATCGATGAGAACCAGCAAAATGGCTCTACCAAGTCGAACTGCGCCCGAAAACCTTGAAGTGAATTTCACTTCTTTCAACCAGTCGTCATACTTGGTATTGTGCAGTCCGGCGCCTCATTCTGATGTAGACGCTGTAAAAAAAACATGGAAATACATCAAAATTCCGTTGCATAACACTCCAAATGAGAATCCAGGGAGGCTTTTTGTTCTTTATGCATGAAGTGTGCTCTGTTGTCAGTTCGTCTGGGTGCATCAGAATGCTAGCTTCTAGTGGTTGATGGAGCTGATAGAGCACGAATGTGTTGGGGGTCGTATGTATGGTTGCAGCAAAAGGTGAGAGGGAGGGGGGTAGGAAGGGTCTTGTCGAAACCTAGTTTTCAGGTTTACTAACTCAACCTTTTCACACAATCTGATGATTTGCCTGCAGATGCATCCCATAATCATGAAGATAGGGAGGGCGCACGCGCTCGAGTTTTCTCCTATTCTAACTCATCCCGGTTGATTGGCCTTTATCACGCTTTTCTCGTCGCCAAAAATGACGTGACGCATAATTCTGTCGAGTTTTAGTTATCACGTCGCATATCATTGTGAGAAATATTGTTTGCTGAAAAACCCGAACTCCCACCTCCGTCATTTCAGTGTTACAGGGATCATGTTCGTCGCTAAGAAATCAATAACTCTCTCTATAAGATAGTCCTGGCACGTCGAAAATCTGATTTTAGATATCAATTTACTGAGATAACCCTTAAAAGGGGAGGTGTTTTAGTCGTGCAATCTTTTTGAATGGTCTTGTTGGCGTAATATCGATTGAGCGTAGCCGATCCACACATCATACGACATAGATGAGGCGGTGCGTCGTGTTGCTGCGAGACAATGCTTTCTAGGAGGTCCAAAACTGGATGACAAACGAACATTTTGACAAAATGAGCGATTTTAACAATCTTAACGGCTCCGATTTTGATTGTTATGAGGTAATGTTGAAAATAGTCAAATAAGTAAAATGTAAGTATCGGTAGTAACACACTCTGCAATGCCCGACGCATACGTGATATTTGTCACACGCCCACTCCGATCTTGGGATATGAAGTGTGCGACGCTAGATTTGCATCTATCATAAGATTTCACGCTCAACTGGCTGTCCAGACGGCTTTCTAGCGAGCACTGCTGGATGACTAATAAGCAATTATTTGTTGCTGTCAACAGTACCTAGCGGTGCTCCAGTATGATGTGGTCCGTAACGCGGCGCTCGAGTTGTTTGTTCTGCGGCATCTAATGGTTTGATTATTTGAATAGTACCAGTCGCTTGCGTGATGTGATGGTGTGGTGAATAATCATCTGCTTTGCGCGGCGGTATAATTGTGGTGGATGGGGCTAAGTCGATTGATTCAGCAATTCCACGAGTACGAGGCTATTCTCAATAAGGGATGTTCACTTGACTTCGGAGTGACTAGTAATGGTCTCGCAACCGTCTTGTCATAGTTACGATTCCCATATTTCATTTTGACGAGGCGCAGTAGTTAGTTACCTCTGTGACCTTTGGTAGAGGGAAATGGTTGAGTCCGCATTGCTCCTTTGGCCATGAGGCTCCTCAGCATTGAAAGTTCTTAAGTTCTTGTCTTCTATAAATAACATTGTTTACATTCGTTATATACTTTGAAAATGAGCTGTAGTGGGGCTAAAGGGCTTTCGTTATTGTTTGTTTCTAAAGAATTAGTATTGCAGACCAGTGATCCAGTTTTTGTCGCCCCACCCCCTCCACACGAAGATCCTGTCATGAGCAAACCAAGAGCTCGTTTATGCAAATTGGTGAGTTTACATTAAAATAATCTATCTTACAAGGAGGTCTTTCAGGTCGTGGCGCGCTTTTTGGAAATGGTTTGTTGCTTGTTGTAGGGGTCCATACAAGGATCACAAAAATGGGTTTCATTTTTGCTATGCGTTTCTGGGGAGGTCAAAACTGAGGGTAAAATTTGACAGAATGGGCGATTTTAACTATCTTAATGAGCTCCGTTCTGATTGTAACTTCGAGCATGCGTAGTTTATGAGGTGCTCGTTACTTAGGCTTCGAATATACTTTTGCAAAAATTTTGCCGCAAAAGATCCGGTCCCAAAATCCCGTCCCATCAAGAATCCATCGAGTTATCGGCTGCGCCATCCAATCCGCCGACAGTGAGCATGAGGGGACCGCTGACAAAAACATCACTGTTGCGTCGGTGCATGCCAAGTGTGTTACTACATGATACTTACATTTTGACTTTATTTGAAACTATTTTCAATTACCTCATACAATCAGAACGAGCCCATTAAGATAGTTAAAATCGCCCATTCTTGTCAAATTCTTTTCACTCAGTTTTTGACCTCCCCAGAAACGCATAGCAAAAATGAAACCCATTTTTGTGATCCTTGTATGGACCCCTACAACAAGCAACAAACCATTTCCAAAAAGCGCGCCACGACCTGAAAGACCTCCCTTGTAAGGGTTATCTTAGTGAAATTTTATCTTAAAGCAGATCTTTCTACGTCAGACTTCTTACTGAGGGATGTTCAGGAAAAGTCCTCACAAGGAGAGGAGTTCGGTTTCAACTTGCACGCTGAAAAAGGCCGTGGCCACTTCATTGGTACAGTAGACCAAGGCGGCATCGGAGACCGTGCTGGTCTTCGAATGGGCCAGCGTATTGTTGGAGTGAATGGCATGTTGGTCTATCCGAACACACCTCATAAGGTAATGATTAAATAAAAAAAAAAAAAATAAAAAATGGTGAGCCTTCAGTTTTCGGCTACTACGAGTTGTTGGGGGATAAGCGGTGGAAGAGGGGGGGACCAAGGCTGATTGTCTGCGTTTCTCGCCGAGATAGTAATCCTTCCCTCCCATCAAGCTCAGCTTTGAAGCAGGATCAAGCGCAACTCGAGGGATTGTCGACGAGGGGCATCATTTGATCGCTGCGAATAGAGGAGGGTCGTAATTGACGAGGCAGGTTTTTTTATTGTTTTTTTTTCGCGCTATACGCAGCGAATTTGTTATTTATGATAGCTAGTCGGAGGTATCTTACTCCCCACCCTCTCCCTCGCTTGACGTGTACTGGGCAGGGCCGTCGCGCGTTGAGTATTTCAAGCTGGGGTCGTATAGGTCGCTGGAAAGAGGGGGAGGGTCGTAATCGTCTGCGAGAAGGTTGTTTTTGGTTGTTGACTATTCTTGGTCATTTTTTCCCGTTTCACTGCGCCATATAGCTCCTTGTCCCTGGGTCAGGGCACATCGTTGTTGGGGATTCACCAACAGAAGGGTCGTTTCTGGTCGCTGGAAGAGAGGGGGAATTTTATTCCCTTCAGATCTTCTGAGAGGGGTTGCTGAGTTTTCGTAGTCTTCCTGTTTCATGTGTACACCCCCCCTCCGCTCGACAGCAAAATTTTTGGGAAAAGTAGGGAAGTTTCCGGGAAATTTTGGAAAAATGGTAGGAAGTTGGGCAAAATCTAAGAAATGGTAGAGAGGAGATCGTATTTCCCTCGTTTTTCCCGTTTCATGCGCTATTTAATCCCCCTCCTCGCACCCTCCCCACCCCGGTCGACTGCTCAATGAGGAGGTAACCAGGGGAGTAGGGGGTGGTCGTCCAAACACTCTAAAAGGGGGGAGGGGGGTACGGACTCGGGGAGTGGGAAGTTTTTGGAAAGGTCCAAAAAGTGGTAGGAAGTTGGGAGATTCTTGGCAGATGATAGGTAGGATGGGCTGGGAAGAGAGATCCCACAACAGGAGGAAATCCCGAGGGCGGTGGTGATAGTTTGCGAAAATTTTCCCCAACGGCAGGACGTGGGTCATATCGGTGGAGGGAGGATAGGAGAGAGTTGTGCTGATCAGGGCAAAATTTTCCTGGGCGCCGCTTTCCTCTGCTGAAAAGTCGCCCGCATAGTGAAACCCAAGTGCCACAGGGTAGTCCCCCCGCCAACTGCGTTTTTCCCTTTTCCTCCTCACCTCTTGTGCATCCTCCTGGTGAAGCTTTAACGGTGCTGAAATCCATTAGAATTTTTGCAGGAAGTTGTTGCACAAATAAAACGTTCACCTTTACGTACGACACTATTGGTCGCATCAGAAGATGTGGATAGATGGTACAAAGAACATAATGAAGAGTTTTCGTTTGACTATGTCGAAGAAGATACACCAGCTCAACATCAACAACTCAGCCCACACGTGAGTTCCATTTGCTTATGTTTATTAGCGCCAACTGCTCCCCATGTTCTTTGCTTGGAATGTCAACGTCGCGATGTGGTCGTGCGGGGTGTGTCGGAAATCGAAAATTTGAAATAATCAAGGTGGTGCGGGTGGTTTTTGATAGGGACAGGAGAGTCATTTGAAATTGCATTCTCACTTCTAACAGGTGTCTCATGATGTCCAAGCAAAAATGATTCTTCGTGCTATTTTGAAGTTGAATAAATGGTTTTGTTGCCTTCCGAGAGAACGTTCATTTACCGCTCTCCAGTCTTTTGGCGTGAAAGCGATTGATTTGTAGACCGTCAAGGGTCAGCTTTTTTGTGGTTTGTAATTATCTGTAATTAGAGGGACGGCCCGGGTCCACCGAGCTCAAAAAGAAGTGGGGAAAAGCGCGACCAGCTTGCGACGAGGCCGTAGCCTCCTCCCAACTTCCATTTCTTAGGGGTTGCTGTGGTGAGGTTGTTCCGCTACTAACTCTCTTGATTTTGAAGGGTGAGGGTGAGGTGATAAGGGGAAAAAGCTGACGCCAACATCCCAGATCTCGTCCGATCACGTACAAGCGTCTCCCTTATGCACGTGCAAGCACGATGGGATTCTGTACGGGGCATTGTTCATTCCCATCTCCCACCTTGTTATTGGTATTTTAAAAAACGAATTACCATT